TTCAAAATTTGTAAAGCCCTATTGCACATATACCATCTTGTGAAATTTCTGAAAATTTGGCCTCATGTATTTATGACAGTATATTACTTGTTAAATCCCCTATTGCACATCTGCACATCACAGAGTACCACCATGTGAAATTTCAGAAATGTGGCCATTTGTATCACGAAATAATCTCTGGAAACGAAAGTGCTGACGGAGAGACTCTATGATTTATTATAAGGCACTCATATTTTGTGGGGCCCTAATAATATTGATTCTGTAGAAAAATGTACTTTAAATAGAAAAGTTGACAATGATGATTAAGTTGATGACAAAAAGCTTCACACCATTACACAGCTCACTGACACTCCACGTCGGCTAAAACCCCTCAAACATGTGCAGAAAAATGTAATCACTTGGTTCCCAAAGCTTAACTTGGGGACAAACAAATGTGCCAAATATTAACAAACACACAGATCCATGTAAACACATTTTATTTACTTTATTTTCAAAAGGACCATCTACAATAAGTGTTTTGACAGTTTTTGCCCTGTTCTATTTTAAAGTAACGGCAATGTTGACCTTTAAAATTTCTAAAGCCCTATTGCACATGTTCCATCATTTGAAAATTTTCAAATTTTACCCTTCAGTAAGGGCCTTATATGATGTATTTATAACAGTTTATTACAGTTTCCGTTTGTTTTCACAACAACCTTGACCTTAGGAATTTTTTAACCCCTTTTGCACATCTGCATATGATTAGTGTATTATCATAAGAAATTTCAGAAATTCTGGCCTTCAGTAAGGCCCTCATCTGATGTACCATCATAAGACAGTTCAGAACGTCTGGCCTTCTGTTAGGGCCTTATAGGATGTATTTTTGGCAGTATATTCCCAATTCTATTTTAAGTAACAGTGACCTTGACCTTAGGAACTTTTTAAACCCCTATTGCATATCTGCACATCACATAGTGCCACAATGTGAAATTTCAGAAATTTTGCCATCTGGATCATGAGATAATCTCTGGAAACAAATTTATGAAATTTTGCCATCTGGATCATGAGATAATCTCTGGAAACAAAGGTGCTGACGGACGGACTCTGTGATGTACTATAAGCACTCGCATTTTGCAGAGCACTAATAATATTGATTGATAAAGAAAAATTGACGAGGATAATTAAGTTGATGGCAAACAAATGTGCCAAAATATAAACAAACACAGATTCATGTAAACACATTTTATTTACTTACTCAACTCAAGGCAAAGAAAATGTAATAAGATTAAAACATCAAAGTATATAAATAGAATTAATTTAAAAACAATGTCAATCAAAATTTAAAAACAATGTCAAGTTATGCCAATAGAAAAGAAAATTCTAATTCTAAGTAGCTAATTATAAAGTTAAAACAAAAAAACACAATCTTAACAAACTTTATGCTTGAACAATGTATAACTTATCTATTACTTAAACACTGTCTGGGCCCTCAATAAAACTATCCCCTATAAAAATATATGCAACCAATTTAAAATCAGCATCCAGGAAATATTTTCCAATTTTTAATTAGGTAAAGTATAAAGTGTAATTAATTTATATTAATTGCTCTTTTTTTAATATTGAATGATAAACAACCATTGTTAAGCTTCTTTTCTTCAGGTGACCAGAACCCCTTTATGGACTGAGTACACATTTCTACACCTCTCAACTCAAAACTCGGAACTTTTATAACTGCGCTTTCTTCTGATGTTAAAATCGTTCTGACAATATTGTTAACAAAAACTTCTTAGGTAATTGCCTTACAAGGTTGTCACTGTAAACAATGTCAATCTGTATGACCTTTAACTTACGTGCAGTTGACAAGTGGTTAACAATGTCAATCTGTATGACCTTTAACTTACGTGCAGCTGACAAGTGGTTAACAATGTCAATCTGTATGACCTTTAACTTACGTGCAGCTGACAAGTGGTTAACAATGTCAATCTGTATGACCTTTAACTTACGTGCAGCTGACAAGTGGTTAACAATGTCAATCTGTATGACCTTTAACTTACGTGCAGCTGACAAGTGGTTAACAATGTCAATCTGTATGACCTTTAACTTACGTGCAGCTGACAAGTGGTTAACAATGTCAATCTGTATGACCTTTAACTTACGTGCAGCTGACAAGTGGTTAACAATGTCAATCTGTATGACCTTTAACTTACGTGCAGCTGACAAGTGGTTAATATATATCAAGGTTTTGGGAAAACTCCTTACTTTGTCTTTAGGCAGCTTTTATTTTGAATAAAATGCTATCTGAACATTTATAAATTTAAAAAAAAATGAGCAATGACAATTCCTTACAGATCTATTCACCAATAATTAGGGTGTTCTTATTTTGTCTTCAGTTTATTATGTCTTTACTAAGATTCTGAGATTCAATTTTTCATCTCTATTTAAAACTATGAAAATGCAAAACAGACATACATTTACAAAGTTTCTATCAGGTCAAAGTGAACTCTGTATGCCTTTGATGAAGAAGAAATTAATTGACCTGAAATCAAACCCAAAACTAATTTAAACACATGACTCAATGAGAGGCCCAGAGGGCCTGTATCGCTCACCTGGAAATGTTAGTAAAATTGAAGTTGGAATAGCGAGATGTTGCTGGTAGTGTACATGTATTACATGGATAGTCAGGGTTATATTTATATACAACTGGACAAAATCCTGTCATTCCTACAGGAAAAGAAGGATTTTGAAGAATTTGCAATGTTTCCTTTTTTGGCCCCGCCCCTCTTCCCCGAGGGGGGTCAGACCCACCTTTGATACAAAATCAGGTCGCCTTTACCCAATGATTTAGACTAAATATGGACAAAAAACTCTTGTTATTCCTACGGTAGAAGAAGGATTTTAAAGATTTTACCTCTATTTCCATTGTTTGGCCCCGCCCCTCTGCCCCCAGGGGGTCCATACAAAATTGTGTCCCCTTGGCCAAAGGATGCTCCAGACCAAATTTAGTCAAAATCTACTTAGCCGTTCAGGTCACCCAAGTCCTACAGTATTAATTTTTGTTGTTGAAATATGAAGTGGAGATAATGATGTCAATCATCCCTACCAAAATTTGAGTACAAAATAGTTAAGTTTAACTTTAAGTTAAGTTTGTCAGGACAATGAGTTGATAATTCCTAGACTGAGTTTCAATTAATTCGGCCTATTAGAACTTGGTTTTAAAATTTAATTATTTTTTTCCCAAAATGGCAGCCATGGCCGCAGTATTGGATTTGATGGACCTGAAAAAACATTTTGCCATGAGTCGACCATTCCTACCAAGTTTCAGTTAAATCGGCCCAGTTGAACTTAACTTAAAGTTTGTAATAGTTTTTCAAAATGGCTGCCGTGGTGGCCATATTGGATTTCTGACCGACCCGAAAAATACCAACACTTGGTCAGGGAGTTTTCAGTAACATTCCCATGAAGTATCAATTTGACAGTATTTCAGCTTAAGTTGTAAAAGTAAAATGTTAACAGACGACGGACGAAGATGGATAGCAAATAGGTCACTTGAGCTAAAGCTCAGGTGACCTAATAAAATCTCTTAACCCCTATGGTAAAAGAAGGATTTTAAAGGTTTTACCTCTATTTCCATTGTTTTGCACCTCCCATCTGCCCCCAGGTAGTCCACACCCACCGTTTATGTTCTAACCCAACTGGGACCACAATATCTGACTTTCAACTAATCAGGGGCCTCCATTGAGTTGCCATGTTAACAGATTTTGAAATAAGTAGTATGTCATATTACAGGGTGTAATTCGACAATACTTTAAAAACATTTCAACTATAAGCTTTTTTATAAACCTAGAAACCAATTTTTAACAATTTATGAAAACTACACAATAGAATATGATAATCTAGTTGTACCATTTCTTAAGACCGCAGGGGTCAAATCAACCTCATTCAATTAAGAAATATTTGTTCCTCCTCAATAATATTTCTGACCAAATTTTGTACAATCCACTCAGGCAATTAGGGGGTATTAGCATCTTAAAGTAAAATATTAGAAAATTTCCCTCTTTGGGGCCTAGCCTTCCTAGCCTCAGGGGGTCGAACCAACCTCATTTATTGAAGAAATGATTGGCCTCCCCTAGTGATGCTTCAGACTAAATTTGGTTGAAATCCTCTTTGGCGTTTAGGAAGAGAAAGGTTTTTAAGAAAAAGTTGACGAGGGACGTCGACGGACGACGACGTGCCACGGCATAAGCTCACTATATATGGTCCTTTGGACCAGGTGAGCTAATAACATCAAGCAACCTTTTGTTAATCTACTGTGAAAATACAAGTGCATGACATAACATACGTGAGAATTCTATATACAATGTATAGATACACATATCAGATATTTAAATACAACTTAACAGATACAAATATGCACTGTATAGTGATTTTGATGAACTATTTCATTTGTAAAATATAATGCTACAAACACAAGATATTTGGTTTGATACAAAGAAAACAACACTGAAATATTACAAACAATTACAATACTTTCAGTTACAAGCACAAAATCTGTTGTCCATTTATGTAGAAACAATATGTTATGTCAAGTTTTAGCTAAGTAACAGTGTTATGTCAAGTTTCAGCTAAGTAACAGTGTTATGTCAAGTTTTAGCTAAGTAACAGTGATATGTCAAGTTTTAGCTAAGTAACAGTTTAACGTCAAGTTTTAGCTAAGTAACAGTTTAATGTCAAGTTTTAGCTAAGTAACAATGTTATGTCAAGTTTTAGCTAAGTAACAGTGTTATGTCAAGTTTTAGCTAAGTAACAGTTTAACGTCAAGTTTGAGCTAAGTAACAGTGTTACATTGAAAGTTTACCAGGGTACACAATATTGTAACAAATACTGGAAGAATACGTATAAATAAATAGGTAACTGAGATAAAATTGAACACAACACGATTTCCCCAACATCTTGTTGGAATTGGAATTCAAAATTTTGCGAGTGCTTTATCTAAATGATATGCTCTAACGTTTGAACTCTGGATCATTCTAGGCAGAATGAGTTCCCTCCAATTATTGTTCCTGGAACATTGATAATCAGTTGACAATAATAATTACTTATCTCAATAAAGTTGATTAAAAGCTAGATAATTAATATTAGTCATACAAAGATTACTCTTCACATAACTAATATTTTGAGATATTTGTCAAGAAATACTTTCACACCAAAAGTTGTCAAATGAACCAGCTATTGCCGCCTGTTAACTTCTCAGAATGTTACTGTTGTAATCAATATCTAATATTATGAGTTAAATCTGAGATGTAATTTACTCCTGTAAATTAACTGATTCTTACAGATATTAAACAATATTAGAATTTTAGAATTGGTTTAAAAACTTCTTTGTTGTAAGTTAAAAACAGAAAATGATTGTTTTCTTTACTCATTTCAGCAATGGTAATGCTGTAAAGCAGAAATGCATCTGCTTCATCTTTGCAGAAAAGTTGGAAAGGACACCCAATTAATTCATGTCCCAATAAAAACTGATGTTTTGTAACTAACTCCCATGTAAAAGTACAAGCAATAATCTGTCATGGTCGTCTTTTTCCAATTTAAACAATACTAAGGGTGGACCACAAATTATAAACATTTTTTGGGTTTTATCAACTACAACACAATAACAAGAAATGTTAGCTAACACAGCATTTGTCAAACCTACAGTAGCCGGTGGCCTCAGACTCACCTATAATATGGACTGAGAATCCATACAACATGTAACAGTCGCCGTGGCCTCGGACTGACCTATAATATGGACTGAGAATCCATACAACATGTAACAGTACCCGTGGCCTCAGACTGACCTATAATATGCACTGAGTATCCATACAACATGTCACAGTAGCCGGTGGCCTCAGACTCGCCTATAATATGGACAAAGTATCCATACAGCATGTAACAGTTGACGTGGCCTCAGACTCACCTATAAAATGGACTGAGTATCCATACAACATGTCACAGTAGCCAGGGGCCTCGGACTCACCTATAATATGGACTGAGTATCCATACAACATGTAACAGTAGCCAGGGGCCTCGGACTCACCTATAATATGGACTGAGTATCCATACAACATGTAACAGTAGCCGTGGCCTCAGACTGACCTATAATATGGACTGAGTATCCATACAACATGTAACAGTAGCCGTGGCCTCAGACTGACCTATAATATGGACTGAGTATCCATACAACATGTAACAGTAGCCGTGGCCTCAGACTGACCTATAATATGGACTGAGTATCCATACAACATGTAACAGTAGCCGTGGCCTCAGACTGACCTATAATATGGACTGAGTATCCATACAACATGTAACAGTAGCCGTGGCCTCAGACTGACCTATAATATGGACTGAGTATCCATACAACATGTAACAGTAGCCGTGGCCTCAGACTGACCTATAATATGGACTGAGTATCCATACAACATGTAACAGTAGCCGTGGCCTCAGACTGACCTATAATATGGACTGAGTATCCATACAACATGTAACAGTAGCCGTGGCCTCAGACTGACCTATAATATGGACTGAGTATCCATACAACATGTAACAGTAGCCGTGGCCTCAGACTGACCTATAATATGGACTGAGTATCCATACAACATGTAACAGTAGCCGTGGCCTCAGACTGACCTATAATATGGACTGAGTATCCATACAACATGTAACAGTAGCCGTGGCCTCAGACTGACCTATAATATGGACTGAGTATCCATACAACATGTAACAGTAGCCGTGGCCTCAGACTGACCTATAATATGGACTGAGTATCCATACAACATGTAACAGTAGCCGTGGCCTCAGACTGACCTATAATATGGACTGAGTATCCATACAACATGTAACAGTAGCCGTGGCCTCAGACTGACCTATAATATGGACTGAGTATCCATACAACATGTAACAGTAGCCGTGGCCTCAGACTGACCTATAATATGGACTGAGTATCCATACAACATGTAACAGTAGCCGTGGCCTCAGACTGACCTATAATATGGACTGAGTATCCATACAACATGTAACAGTAGCCGTGGCCTCAGACTGACCTATAATATGGACTGAGTATCCATACAACATGTAACAGTAGCCGTGGCCTCAGACTGACCTATAATATGGACTGAGTATCCATACAACATGTAACAGTAGCCGTGGCCTCAGACTGACCTATAATATGGACTGAGTATCCATACAACATGTAACAGTAGCCGTGGCCTCAGACTGACCTATAATATGGACTGAGTATCCATACAACATGTAACAGTAGCCGTGGCCTCAGACTGACCTATAATATGGACTGAGTATCCATACAACATGTAACAGTAGCCGTGGCCTCAGACTGACCTATAATATGGACTGAGTATCCATACAACATGTAACAGTAGCCGTGGCCTCAGACTGACCTATAATATGGACTGAGTATCCATACAACATGTAACAGTAGCCGTGGCCTCAGACTCACCTATAATATGGACTGAGGGTTTGGCAACATTCATAATGGATATATTAAGCATATAAGCACTGAATTTACATAAACATATTTGTTAAATCTAAAAGTTTCTTTGTAACCAAACTTCTAATATGTTACCAAAGCCCTAATTATAATGATAAGGAAAATGTTTTAAATACAATGTATAAGAATGTTATAACTTCCAGTCTCATCAAATACGTTCTTCAAAATGACTAATCTCATGAAAATATAATATCTGTACAAGTTAAAAGTTGTAAGTGTACCACTGAAAACAATGGGAGTAAGGGGAAAGTAAAATATTGATGGGGAACACATAATATCACAGGTCAGTGTTCAGAATACAAGATATTGCATAACAGTGTCGGAGCACTTTTAATGATTCCTGTCTCCCATCAGCTATAGTATATAGTTATATACTGGGACTATATAGCAGTGTCGGAGCACTTTTAATGATTCCTGTCTCCCATCAGCTATAGTATATAGTTATATACTGGGACTAAATAGCAGTGTAAAAAGGAAATACATATTCAAATGTAATATTTCTGAAATCAACATAAATCACTTGTCCTTGGTCGGAGATTCTTTTGATAACATGTTATGTTTTGAGGAGTCCTCAATATTTCCTATCAAAACATTATCAAAATCTTATTATCAGATTTTGTCACTATTACAAATCTAACACATATGGGAATACATAAAATAAAAATTGTCCCTGTTTTATTGGCTTTTGTGTAAAACACTTTTAAAAAACAAAAATGAGAAAAACAAACCCTGACCATCTCCAATTAATGAGAAATGATAGTGACGATAAATATTTTTTTACAGGATATTCAGGGAATTAATATTTATAATCTGATTTGATCATGAAATAATTCTGTCAATTTAAATTTTGACAAACCAAACCAATAAATTTTCAGAAACAGATTAAATTTAATATTAATGGAAATAATTTAGTTCCTTAGCTCTTTAAAATCATTTACATAAAAAAATGATAATAGGTTAAATTTTTCTGAGGTCGATTGTGCATCTATCATTTAAATATGATAAAACAATATCAGAATCTTAATAAAAAGAATATCAGATCTGGTGATATAAGTATTATGTTGATAGCTTAATTTACACTTTAGTGGAACAATTTATGAGTATGACAATGTCCAAAGAAGTAAAATTGTAGGACGTGTTTCATCATTACATAGGTTCTAACACAGTAGGTTCATCTTACACACTTATCATAGAAGAGAAACTCAAGCTACATCCAGTAGTTTATGATCGACTTATTACATTTGAATCATATCTGGTGATCAAGAGGAATGTCTATAATTGTAATGCTATACATTGACTAGTTTTGCATTTGATCCATTTTGATTAAAAAATATTACAAGACTCCATACATGTAGGAAACTGGACTTTTGTCTCTTTTTGTTTTTATCTAAAAACTTCATGACTTAAACAATGTTCAGATGATACCAAATTGGCAATAGGTGTGTCCTTTATTCCAGTACCAAGATGTCAAAAAAATATCAGTTTACAAGTACGGTTGATCAAATTATAAACGCCTGATAAACTAATGATCAACCATAGTTCAGCCATGTCTCATACATCACTTTCATAACTGACAAGAACAAAAACCTGTTTTTCAGTATACTCAAGCTTGTGTATGAGTTTAGAGAGATTCAGAATGAGATCAGTCTACAAGGCGATGATCAATGCCTCAGTCAGATACAGGGTGGGTCTTCCTCTTCCGCACACTTGACTCTCCTTCTTCCTCCTCTTCATCCTTCTTATCCTCCAAAAGCACTTCTTCTATCTCTGCCTCGTCCCTTTCTTTCTTTTCCTCACTCTCACCTTCTGGTTTCTCTGCCTCGTCCTTTTCTTTCTTTTCCTCACTCTCACCCTCTGGTTTCTCTGCCTGTCCACCGGCCTTCTCTCCTTCCTCCTCCTTGACCATTTCCCCTGCAGTCAGTGTATCCACCTCGGGGGAGGAGCTCTTAGATTTATCTCCCTTTGATTTGTCAATCACCTCGTAGCTGCTGATGTCTGGACTGGAGTCACTGGATTTGTTGTCCTTTTCCTACGATCAGATTATGAAAAAATACAAAATGAAAAAAAACAAGTCTTAAAGGGATTTATTGCTTTTAGGCAAAATAATCAAACAGCAATATTATATAGATAATATTGATAATGTGTTTTAGCGGTAGTCTTATTTTAGCACTTTTCATGCTTCAAACATTGTAATAAATTAGCAATGCGCCAATAAAAGTTAATACATGTTGCTCTCTGTGGCATATTTTGTGGGTGTTACAACTCATAAATGCACTAAACTGTTTAAATTTGATAATGCACTAAAATTTGAGTATGCTCAAGTAAGTATTTTTACAGTTTTTGAATAGAATGGCTTGATATAGAAATAGCTTATGAAGATATGAATACGGAAAGTAATGATAACTTTAACGGCAAACCTATTAATCGACTAGGTTAAAGGAAGGTATCAAATACTAAATAAAGTGTTCCCATACAAGCATTAAAACTAGAAACCCGTAACGAGGACTTTTTATAGGCATTGCCATACCAACACTTGTATGAAGTTTCATGAAATTCCATTGAGGAATGAAGTTGATAGCATGATGACAAAGTTTTTGTAAAAATAGTAAAAGTGACCTTGACTTTTAGCGCAGTAACCTGAAACGCAAACTTGTTCAAGGTATTGTCATACTAAACATTGGTATCAAGTTTCATGAAATTCTATTGAGGAATAAAGTCGGTAGGACGATGACAAACGTTTTTCTAAACAAGAGATCCCAGAGGGATCTTGGCGCCCACCATTGTACCATCTTCATTAGTTCTTTGTCAGTTCGATCTTTTCTCTTCTTTCGTCTAATCTGTTTGATCGAGTCATGCAAACAGTAAATGCACCTTGAGGTAACTTTTGATCTAAACTTAATACTGATGTGTATGAAAGCCAACCTTCAAAGTGAGTTTGTCATTTCACATATTTACTAGTACAGTACTTAATGTGAAAGAAATAGAATTGATCATTGCAATATGAGAAAGATCTGTCCTCTCATAAGGGATGAATTAAAAATAGTGATATACACAGAGTCAATTCTTAATATATTGATTTTTCTTGTGTTATCCCAGGGATTGCAGGGACCCTAATAAGGCTGATCAGGTTACTGCAGCTAATCTCTTGGTAAATACCAACCCTGATTTTGTTGGTCTGTCCCTCAGTCGTGGTCTCTACTACCTTGGTGGACACAGTATTCATGGCCTTCAGAATGTTAGCCATTTGTTTCTCCGTCTCCTGTAGACGACTTTGCAAATCTTGCATCTGTTTCTCATCTTAAGAATAAAAGAATGAATTTAAATAACAAGAGTACCGCGGGGCGGAACAATCTACGCCTGTTGAATGCCATAAAGTGTATACTTTCTAACATTGAAATAAGATCTGCATCATTCTCAGAGTGTTTAGCTGACACGCTTTAAAAAAATGTAGGAGAGAATCTCCGGACAAAAAATTAAATACTAAAATGAACAAAGGGCAATAACTTTTGCAAAAATTGTCGAAATCAAAATTCTTTTCAAGGAAACACAACAACATATCCTGATTATTTAGCCTACTAGGTTTCAAAGAAATCTGTCAGAAAATGTAGGAGGAGATCTCCGGACAAAAAAAATATACTGGAATGAACAAAGGGCAATTACTTTTAGAAAAATTATCGAATCAAAATTCTTTTAGGGGAGACACAAATTCATATCATGATTATAATGTATACCAAGTTTCAAAGAGATCGGTCGAAAAAAGTAGGAGGAGATTGCCGGACAAACAAAAGTTTATGCCGAACGGACTAACCCATACCATAATTCTCCCGTCAAATTTGACGGGCATATAAAAATCAACACACAAGGAGTTTCAAGCATGCACTATATGTCAACCTCTCCTCCCAATCACATCAGCAATTCTTTTACCCCATATAACCCACAGACTTTTCACCTGTTCTCATCATTTTGTTTCTTCAAAGCATTTAATGTTTGATTGTCTTCTGTGCCCACAAAAGATTAGTAACCATGACAAGATGACCAAATTCTGTGGTTCTGTGAACTCACTAATGCTGAAGAGATTTGTCAACAACAAATAGCAGATGAAATCCTACAGCTCTGATGACTTACTGATGTGTTTGTCCTCGGCTTTGTTCAGTACATCCTCAATATTTGCCAGTTTCTCCTCAGGAGACTCTCCGTAGAATTCACCCAGGGGTGTGGGCTCCCGTCCAGGCTGGGTATTCCGCTCCCCACTTCCTAGCTCACCACTGTATGCGAGTCCTCGCCTTTGCTGTTCTGCCTGCTGTCGTCGACGGATATCCCCCTTACCTTGCTTATTAAACACCTGGTATGTAAAACCTCAATTTTAATATTAAAGTAAACTACAGAAATTTTCATCAGTTTGGAAAGTTTTACTTTATTGTATATATAAACTTTATTTATCTTAAAATAATTATGAAAGAAGTTATTTCAACTCATAGTAGCTACTCTGGTTGGTCAGTATGTTAGCGTGCAGAGGTTAAATGTGTGAGGAAACTTGAGTACTGGTCGGGCAGGTGACCTCCAGACCTCTGTACATCCAATTGGGGAATCAAACACTGGCCATCTTGGTGAAAGGCAAGTGTATTATCCACTGCTCCACGTGTACCCAACCACCCTGTTCAGTAAATCCTGTAAATACTGAGGATGCACGAAACAATTTACTTTATAAACAAACAATGTAGCTATAAACATATCGCTACGTTTTAAAACTGACTGGTCCCTTTGTATGTGTCACAACGTTTCAAAACCAACTGGCCCCTTTGTTCGTGTCACAACGTTTCAAGACCAACTGGCCCCTTCGTATGTGTCACAGTGTTTCAAAACTGACTGGTCCCTGTGTATGTGGAGGCACGGTAGTCTAGTGGTAGGACGCCGGGCTCATGACCAAAGGGTTGCGGGTTTGAGTCATGGCATGGCACTGTGTTGTATCTTTGAGCAAGATTGATAATTTACTCTGTTTGTTCCAGTGTACTCAGCTGTAAATGAGTATGTGGTTGGGCAGTGCTAGAATTATAGAATGCTAGCTGTGAGCGCTGAAATGGCAGCAACGACTGTATGCTCCCCAGGGAGTTGAGAAAGATATTGGCTGGTTGCAAAGGCCCAATAACAACGGATAATCATTTGTGAACCACTTTGAGACGACCTACAAACTAGGTTGTGATAAGGCGGTATATAAGAACCTTGAATCCTTATTATTAATATATGTGTCACAACATTTCAAAACCGGCTTGTCTGTTTGTACATGTCACATATTTCAAGACCGACATGTCCATGTGTCAAACTATCCAAAGGGAATAGTCGGTCTTGAAACACTGTGACATGTTTAACTCATCCACCCCTGAAGATACATTTGAACTCTTCCAATTCAAAGGTTAGAATAGTTCATTATGAAATTTCAGGGGTGAATGAGTTAATAGGTACATTGTTGGTGTATAAACTAAAAGCATAAAACCTTTGATATAACAGAAACTTTCATTTCAGAATAATCTTAAATACAGTGCAAAATACAAGCAACCTCGAAAGTATCTATGGCCTTAAAGAAAGGGTAACAAACTAGAACTGTAAGCCAGAGACATACTGACCTGACAGTATCAACAAAGACGGACCCATAGAACCCAAGTAATAACAAAGACGGAACCATAGAACCCAAGTAACAACAAAGACTGACCCATAGAACCCAAGTAATAACAGAGACGGACCCATAGAACCCAAGTATCAACAAAGACGGACCCATAGAACCCACGTAATAACAAAGACGGACCCATACAACCCAAGTAACAACAAAGACGGGCCCATAGAACCCAAGTAACAACAAGGACGGACCCATAGAACTCAAGTAATAACAAAGACGGACCCATAGAATCCAAGTAACAACAAAGACGGACCCATAAAACCCAAGTAATAACAAAGACGGCCCCATAGAACCCAAGTAACAACAAGGACGGACCCATAGAACTCAAGTAATAACAAAGACGGACCCATGCAGCCCAAGTAACAACAAAGACGGACCCATAGAGCCCAAGTAACAACAAAGACGGACCAATAGAACCTAAGTAATAAAAATGACGGACCCATAGAACCCAAGTAACAACAAGGACGGACCCATAGAACTCAAGTAATAACAAAGACGGACCCATGCAGCCCAAGTAACAACAAAGACGGACCAATAGAACCCAAGTAACAACAAAGACTGACCCATAGAACCCAAGTAATAACAAAGACGGACCCATAGAACCCAAGTAATAAGTGCAACTATGGTTATTACTTGAGTTCTATATATGGGTCCCTATTTCCAATAAATGGCCATTCATAAACAAAGTCGACCACATAGAACTCAAATTATGACCAATTATATCGCAGCCAATCAGATGCTAAGGCAGCCATCTTGAATCACAAAAATTAAAAGTTGGCTTTTTGATGGAAAGTATGTACAATTCCCTGGAAATTTCATTGTAACACGTCACATAATGTTGGGAAATGTGTAAGGAAATTTAAAGGGATTGGTAGAAAAGAAACCGGAATACAATACCGGCATATACATGTACGGCATGTACGAACATGATATACCTATAATAAACAAAATTTCGGAACATCTTCTTATTAATTTCATAATTGTAATTCGGACCAGGTTTTATCCACATACAGACAGTATAGGTAGCAGTGTACAGTAGCATACGATGGCTATGGGTGATATTTGTATACCATGAATAACCCCTGTAATATAACATGTATCAATTTTTTTTTTTAAAAAGCACTAAAATTGGCATACCAGGTATACATGATCAAGTGGACTATATGTGGGCTTCATAATTTTTCAAAAAAGACCTTGAATTTGGTTTGAGACTACAGTTTTTGGGCATTTACAAATCTGTGTCTACACAACAAAAGCTAGCTTTTCATGAAGTCTATTTTTGTACTCGGCACATGTGTAAATATTGTGAAAAATCCACCAGGATGACCTATGCTAAAAAGTATTTCTGTTACCGAGTAGGCAAAATTTAATTTCAGATAAGTTTTAAGAAAAACAATTATACTTGCGGGGGTCAAATTTGGGTTAAAAACCATGATATTTTGCATATTTTGGTGTTTTTTGATGTGGTAACCATGGTTTTCACAAGTCCCAAATCTGGGGAAAACAGTTTTTGAAAAAAAAATCAGTCTTCTAAACAAAATAAAATAAAAATGTAGTTTATAAATATGTATATATATGTAGATGTGTTGTGCAGGTTGAATTCACTATCCATGTTTATGTGAGACATGCCCTTTATATTTAGGGTCAAGCCATTTCTACTGTACACTGCTACCATAGCCACCTGACCTCCAGGTTGGGGTTATTATCATGATTGAATGTAAATTGCATTGACAAATGTATGACCTATCTTTGAAAAGTGTGTTATAGTAACCTGTATATCTGATAGTAAAATGCCACAGACCTTAAAGAGAGTGTAGATGAGGTACACCACGATGCCCACAGCATACATAGGCAGGACCATTCCCATGATACCGCCCCGACCACCGCTCGCATGTTTCTGGTTGTTCATTTCTGCTGAGGCTCGCATGCCAGGATGAGGTCCAGGCTATTCAAGACAATGTAAATGTGTACAAAATATTGTATAAAATCATGTTCACAAATAACCTAGTTATCTACATGTACAGAATTTATGTATGTTGTATCATTGACAAAATAAGGCTAGGGTAGAGCTAACGCCTTGGTCCTTCAATAGTGTACAGAGTTTCAGCCAGTTGGTATATTACGTAGATATGCTGGTCTTATAATAACAGATATCAATATTCATTGCAATGCTCTAGGTTAATTAAGCCATCTTAATTGGTGGAAATAACCTACTACAAACTAAACAAGAGGCCCATAGGGCCTGTATCGCTCACCTGGACAGCTAAGCAATCATGGCAGAATATTCTCCAAATGAGATCCATGGGAATATGCCAGACCCCTAGGCCAATCCTTATAGCATATATATCTGTATTCGATTTTTCACGCCCAGCAATTTTATGTATGGTTCTGGGGTGGGGATCTCAACTGTTTCCAATCTGTGACTCAGAAACTAGGTCCCTATGGTTGTGGCCAGACCCCAGGATCAATTCTAATATCATGACTGCATTTGTCTCTTTTTGCCCAGCATTTGTATATATAGTTTTGGGGTGGGGATCTCAACCGTTTCAAAGTTATGACCCAGGGGTTAAGTCTGCAAGGGTGGGGCAAACCCTGGGGTCAATTCTAATATCATGACTGCATTTGTCTCTTTATGCCCAACAATTGTATATATAGTTTTGGGGTGGGGATCTTAACCATTTCGAAGTTATGACCCAGGGGTTAAGTCTCCAAGGGTGGGGCAGTCCCCAAGGCCATCCTGGAAGCATATGTGCATTCATCTCTTTATACTCAGCAATTGTCTATATGGTTATAGGTCGGGGATCTCAACTGTTTCCAAGCTGTGACTAAGAAACTAGGTCCCTAGGG